GTAGTGAACTTCTGTCACTGGAGGACCCATCAGAGGCAGGTGATGGCTGATGTCCTTTCCAAGACTGAGAGAGCACCCAGGGCTTGGAGACAGACAGACTTAACTTCTCAGTTACAGAGCTGTGGCTTCTCAGACAAGTCCCTGAACCTCCCAGATACTCAGTGTCCCCCTGTATGAAGGGGAGACAATCCCTCTTTCCCTGAGCTGTTGAGCAATTAAATGAGGCGTCATCTGTAAAGCACTTAAAATAGAGTAGGCACTCAATGGATGATATCATGAAAATTCATTAATTTGGGTCATCCAAAACTAAATATTTTGGGCACATATTGTGAGCCAGGCATCGAGCTAGGTGCTGGGTGACATTGTCTTATAGCGTAGCTTTTCAGACAGACAATTCTAGTTCAAATCCCAAATTTACCACTTACTAGCTGTAGAAATGTATTTAACTTCTTTGAGCCCTAGTTTCCTCCTATGTAAAGTGAGGGAGAATAATATCTATTTTAAGGGATTATTGTAATAATTATATAATCTATGTAAAGTACCTAGGACAGTAACAAAGTCTCAAAAATGGCAGTAATTATGATTAACATGATCATGCTGAAACATTAAAAGGTGGAGAGGCTGGTGGGTCAGATTTAACCCCAAAGGTCCAAATGACTTTATTTATGGCATCAAATCCATCCTTGAGCCAACCTCTTCTGCATTAAATAAAATATAGGATGTTATTTCCCCTTATACACAGCTACCCATCATTCCCTAAGTACTTAAAGTGAGAGAGATTTCTGTTGGCTCTAAAGAGGGACATGGTAAAATACTAGAGTGGGCTGGAGAGGATGGTTTTGGAATCTATTTTCAGAGCTCTTTCAGGAAAGTCTTTTGAGGATTTTAAGTGTTTTTGCCCAGAGTATAGCTCCCCCACCCCGAGATGCACATGCTCTAATGTCCCCTGGGGAATTCCTTGTTTAAGGTCTCCGTGTCCCCTGGTCCAGCTGCCTTAACTTAGAGCAAATGCAAACTTGAACTGTATCCCCAGTGGGGATCCTGGCTCAGGTCTGCCCTGCTAGCTCTCAACCCTCCTCCAGCCTTTTCCTTTCTGCCTACTTCCTGGTCCTGCCCCTTCCAGCCCCTGGCAGTTCTGAGTGTTTGCTGGCCTTTGCTCCTGTAAGGAGGACAAGCATTCACTACACTCTCTGGCCACGCCCGCAACTCAGAGAAGGCCTGATCACTGCATACACAAACCCCTCCCTGGCTGCCACTCTTTCCTTGGCACACCATTCACCAGTCCATAATGGGGCCTGAACACTTAAAACAAACATGGACTCACAGTCAAATCAGGAATTTACTTTGTGATCCTTTAATTCAGGACAACCTTCCTTCTCTTTCTAATGCTAGTGCCTTACCCTTTCTGAGTGTTTCCCACGTGCTTAACCCTCCTGCCTCCCAGGGGCTGCGACACTCCACTGGGCTTCTTGGTCCTGGATGTGGGTCTAGAGTTCCTGTGCCCCCTGTGGAATGACAGTGATGATAGCTAAGTTTCACTTTCACTCCTTGCACAAGTGCCAGGTACTGTTCTAGATACTGGGGGTCACCGGAGAACAAGACAAGTCCCTGCCCTCATGGAGCTCATATTCTGAAAGCGGAGAAGTGATACATATATAGTACAATGTCGGGGAGTGATAAGTGCCATTCAAAAATCAGGGCCAGGGGCATGTGAATGACAGGTGGTGCTACTTTGGGTAGTGTGATCGGGGAAGACTTCTCTGGAGGTGGCTCTTGAGCGGACACCTGAGCAAAGGGAGGAGGGAGCACGGGAGTAACCAGGCTAGGGATTCTGGGCAGAGACATGGCAAAGCCCTGGGGCAGGGTGAGCCCCAGCTTTGACATTTGAGGAACATCAAAGAAGTCCCTTTTTTAATGTCATACTGTGATGAGCACTTCTAAAAAAATAGTGATAAAATATATATAACTTAAACTTTATCATTTAAACCACTTTAATGTATATAGCTCAGTGGCATTAAGTACATTCACATTGTTATGTAGCCATCACCACAATCCAACTCCAGCACTTTTTTTTTTTTGAGACAGAGTCTCACTCTGTTGCCCTGGCTAGAGTGAGTGCCGTGGTGTCAGCCTAGCTCACAGCAACCTCAAACTCCTGGGCTCAAGTGATCCTACTGCCCCAGCCTCCTGAGTAGCTGGGACTACAGGCATGCACCACCATGCCCGGCTAATTTTTTCTATATATTTTGAGTTGGCTGATTAATTTCTTTCTAATTTTAGTAGAGAGGGGGTCTCGCTCTTGCTCAGGCTGGTCTCGAACTCCTGAGCTCAAACAATCCTCCCGCCTCGGCCTCCCAGAGAGCTAGGATTACAGGCGTGAGCCACCACACCCGGACTCCAGTACTTTTTTTTAATCTTCCCAAATTGAAACTCCATCCCTATTCAATGACTCCCCATTCCTCCCTTCCCCAACCTCTGGCCACCACCACACTACTTTCTACATGGTGAGAACTTTAAATGCATCATCTCATCTCATCCTCAAACAACTGTAGGCCACAGGTTTTACTATTATCCCCATTCGACAAGTAAGGAAATAGACTGCTTGAACTGTCTCAGATCACACAGCTATTAAGTGGAGGGAGAAGGCCTTAAATCACAGTTTTTCTGACTCAGGCTCCTACTTGTAACTGCCTACATGGTGGGGGTGTAGGCTTCTCTTCTGCTGCCGCTCTGACAGCCCAGAGGTGAGTTGGGAGGGTTTAGTGTGGATTACAGCCAATGTGGGATGCTTTTCTTGTTGGGACAGGAGGGGGTGTGTTGTGCCTGACTGGTCCTGTCTGTCTGGGAGGAAGGGACTGCTGTCCAGAGACAGGGATTGGGGGTGGCAGGGAAGTAGGTGACCAATGTCTGTGTGCTATACTCCTTTTCTACCTCTGTCTACTGAGCTGGCTGTCAAGGGGTATCAGCTGCTCCGAGAAGATGAGCAAGGGCATCTTTGGTGCCTGGTAGCCAGTCATCCAAGCAGCATCGTCACCACTTACTTATTATTAGTCTATAATGCAGCACTAGGTGCTGCAAAAAGAACCCCCCAGGAGTTAAGCATGACACAGATACAGCCACGTAGCAGTGTCAGAAGGAAAGAGCAAAACAGAAGTATATCAAGAGGGACCAGGCAGAAGTACAGTACCTGGCTCACACCCCAGACTAGAGTAAGTGTATTTTTGAGGATGGGGTGGGTATGAAGTTGGGATAGAGCTCTATTTATTGTAGCTGGAGCCATGACAACCTGCCCTGTTCCAATATCCAGGTTGCTGGAAGAGCTATCAGTTTCCTGGTTTGGGTGGTCTGAGCTTTGGTGCCAGGGAGTGTCGAGTTCCACTCCCTGCCCTACCACATACAAGCCAAATGAGCTCTGGCAAGTTGTCTTAGCTTTCTGAGACTGTTTCCTCTCTTGCAAACATAATTATACCAGCTTTTTTAGGGTTTGCTGAGAGGGTCAAAAGAGATAAGGTGTGTCAGATGCCTAATCAATGTCTGGTACATAGTAGGTGCTCAACAAATGTTCATACTTTGCCTGGGGGAAGCATGAGCTTGCAGCCACTGGCCAGGAGCTAAGCCTCTCCCCTCCTCACAAAGGTCCGTACTATTTCTGATCTGCTGGCTTCTTCTCTAATCATTGGGTTCAGCTCCCGATTTGGGGACCCTTGCTACACAGTTTGATGTTGAGACTTAGTGAGGAGAGGCCATGTATGGGGGTATTTGAAGTTTAGGGAAGGGCCTGGCAACCATATCTCTTATCTATTTTGGGGTCACCCCTCTGCATGCAGATATATTGAAAGGCAAGATACTGCCCATCTCCATCTGACTGTTACTACCAGTGGAATGTGGGCTGCATTTTGAGAGATCTTACGAATTTTCCGGAGAAGGTGGAAATCTAGAATTATAAGTGAAATAAATACCTGATTTAAAAAATGGTGGAAAGTAGTTTGATTTTTGAAAACCATGAACAAAAACACACCTTGTGGGCAGATGTGGCCCAGGGGCTACCAGTATGCAGACCCTGCATCAAGTTGCCTGGTACCTATACTGTGTCCTTTGGTACTTGTCACCAGTACTGACCTTGGACCTGGACTCCGGGACTCTGCCCTGGACCCCATGTTTCCCCTGGCCCATTCCAGCTGCAGCCCATGTCCCTTCTGGATCACGCTCCTGGCACTGTGGACTCCGGAAGTCGCTGTCCAAACAGCCCTGAGCCTGCTTCCAAGGCCTGTCCTCCTTCCTCCCAGGGGCAGCTTGCACTGCCTGGCATGAGCATCTTCAGGCTGGGAGCAGGGTAGGGGCCGCAGAGCGCGAACAGCAGGGGCAGGACTGCCAGCCCGAGTCCTGCATTTGTACTCTTGCCCCTGGCTGGACAATTGTTAGGGGTGGGCCTGCTGGTCACTGCCCTATAGTAAGAGTTAGTCCTGATTCACAATTTACCCTGGGCCAGGCACTCTCCAACGCATTGCATGCATCATGTCATTGGACGCTTACACCAACTCTGAGGATGCTGACAAGTAGTCTCGCTTTACAGGTGAAGGAAGCAAGGCGCAGAGAAGCGAAATAAGTTGCTCACAGCCAGTGAGCGGCAGAGCCAGGATTCCAACCGACAGTCTGCAGCAGAGCAGACTCGCTTAGTGTCAAGCCACACTGTGGAAACTGTTGCTGCTCCCCAGCCCCCACTGGACGGCCGGCCCCGACAAGGCTGGGGTGGAGGCGGGGACCCTCCGCGGGGGCGCGAGGAGGGTCCGTGGGTCGCCGTGACTGCCTCCGAGCTGCCCCGCCGCCCGCCGGCCCAGCCCGCGGGCCGCCAGGGGGCCTGGCGGGGACGGCGGCGCCTGGCAGCGGGGGATTGGACGCGCCGGCCCGCGGCCGCCCCTCCCGCGCCCCCCGGCCGGGCCGCGCGTCCGGACTCCTGCGACCGCCCCGCGCCTTCCCGGCATGCCCCGCCGTGCCGTCCTGGCCGCCGCGGGATGCGCGCGGAGCCGCAGCCTCAGGTGGGTGGCCCCGCGGGTCGGGCGCGCCGGGCTGCGCACGGGGGCTCGGGCTTCGGGCGGGCGGCGGCGACCAGTCCGCGTGGAGCGGGGCACC